AAGGAAGGAAGGAAGGAAGGAAGGAAGGAAGGAAGGAAGGAAGGAAGGAAGGAAGGAAGGAAGGAAGGAAGGAAGGAAGGGGGGGAACAGTGCAATGCTTGTTTTGTCATTCGCCGCCTCTTCCTGTGTGTGTGCATTGCCCAATTTCCCTAGATTGCCAACCTGAGTTTGCCAGTAATCCTGGAGATTCCCTCTCCCACCACTGAAGGTGTGAACATGACACGTTTGTTTTTGCATCTGCATATATGTCTCTATCTATAAATCTGCTAGAAGTCGCATAGTAAAAAAAAGAAAAAGAACAAAAGAACAAAAAAGCAGGACCAAGGCAATATATTTGATTAATAGCTATTAAATTTAAGTGCCTGTGCGATATGCATTACAATCTACTCAGTTTGCTCTTAAACGCTCATTAATCCCTGTCTCCATATACAGTACCAACCATTCTCTCTCTGAAGCAGCAGGAGGAAACAGGATAGAAATGGGTTAAGAAGAAGTAACTGCACCAGGAAGGGAGAGAAAAAGGGAAAGGAGGAACAAAAGTAGATAGTGATGAGGGAAGGGAAAGAATGAGAAAAACGAAAGAAACACTGTTTAGGCATTACAAAGATTAAATTCACCAAGTAAACAGCTCCTCCCAAGTAGTAGCTAATCTTCAAAGGCATATTGTACATGCTTTGCAGCAGGAATGCCTGAAGCTATTTGCACCTCACGTTAATTCCTTCATTTTCAGCAATTTCTTTTATTCTGATTAGTGAAGGTAAAATGACACCCACCTGCAAATTCACAAGTAATTGTTTTAAGAAAAAGCTCTGGCTTCTCCACAGGTAAATGCAGTATATTATTTTTATTGTTGATTAAGCATATCTGTATGACTTTAATTTTTAGCAAACCCAACATACATTAATTGATTTATTTACAGGGTAATTGATAAAATTACAGGGTTGTTGCCATTGACTAATTATACACGTAATTCTTTCACCGTGCTTGTTAATTAAAAGTGGTTAATAATGGCTATTTTTCAAGCATTACATATATTTTAGATTTCTAAACACTTAAAAGCCCACTTATCTTTTCTAAAATATTAATATCTTCTTGCATGTATGCTTTCGGTGATTAAATAGTCTTCACCCTAGGTAGTTTGTGAGGAAAACTGATCAAAAATACAATTTCTGTAATTTGAGTGAATTTTCACTTCAGTTTTAAGGGAAATTCAAAATATGATTCTCAGTCTTCATTCTTCCCCTCTTTTTCTGCAGTGAAAACTCTATTAAAAATGCACAAAATACGTACAGTGTTGGCAAACTGAATAGGGATTTACCTCTTTATGAATAAAATAATAAATATAATAAAATAAATGAATAAAATGAAATATGCATTCAATTTTTTTCTCAGTATAATCTGCAAATGCAATATAAATGTACAAACGATTGATTATGAAGAACAGCCATTGACAAAGATAGCCTATTTTGGTCTAGATGTGAAAACATTTTAACAAAACAAATACAGTCTGCATTTTGGTTCATGTGGCTATTCTTTTTACCTCCTTTTATGAAGTAATTTAGTTATAACAGATTTTCCACTGTATGTGGCTGTAAGACTGAATGCCTTTTATACTTTCTTTCAAGTGGTAGACCAATAAACCGGAGGGACATCAATCCAGTCATTCTTTCTGAAGAACAGGCCAATTTGTGGTGCATTATGAACCTGTTTTCAGATACCTTATCTGCTATGGATTCTTCCCACCACCCAAAATGTAGACTTTTTGTTTATCTTAGAATCTTGTCTCTCATCACATATGTCCCTTTCCATGGCTTGACAGTCACTGTGAATGCACTCTATTTTTCAGTTGTTTGTTTGAGCTCATCCTTAGAAAACTGGATCACATATCCACAGAACTAGCTGAGTTGCATGATTTAGAATCCAATCACTTTGAACTACAGCAGAATTCTCAAGTGTTAAATCTTCAGAGGGGTCTATGTCTTCAAGAACTTTAGAATGCATTAAGAAAATACAGCAAGACATCTTTATTACAGTTATGGACCAGCATATACAGAGTAAAATAATATTAAAAAGAAAAAAAGAGGAAATAGCACCTGTGTCAGTGATTGTTATTAGACATTTGTGGGTGGAGTTTAAACATAATGTAAGAAGATTTTGCTACTCTTAAAGAGACAGAATTATCTCAATCCCCTAAATGATAATGTAAATAGAAATTATTGGAATGCCCTGGAAACTTAATTAAGAGAGAAATAATCAGCTGGTGACAAGTTCCTTATAAAACTGGCAATGAAGAAGAACATGGGCCATGGTTTCTATCGGACCATGCCATAGAGACAATATTTTATTTTATTTATGTATTTATTTAATAGACTTTTCCCCGCCCATCTCCCCACAATGGGGGACTCTGGGTGGCTTTATTAAGCTTAATATCATGCTTAAAAAGTAATTCTCTTACATTTTCCCTTCCAAAACAGCTGTGGGGAGGGCATTAAAGCAGGCTAAAGCTCTCCTAATTTAGGAGTAGAAATTTGGTATAGGTATGAAGCTGGGTTGGGAGCTGAAATTTGCCTATTTATAAATATATATCCCTTGGAAGGGCAGCAGTTTCTATTTGACCTTCTAGAATTAAAATCCTTTGTCTTAAAGCTAATTTAGTTTGATCTGGCCCTAATGGTAAAATAGCATTACTGGAAAAACCATAATGACTCAATTTCCTTTGGATCACTTTTTCCATTTGAAATTATCTGCTGTATTAGGTGGACCAGTCCTACAAGGTTATGGAGAGTTTCAGCTGGTAAGTAAAGATATTCAAGTTTACTGACTGGATTAAAGTTTACTGACTTCTGCTTCCCGCAGTACCACATTTGGGATACAACGAGTAACCTGGAAGACATTTCTTAAAAATTTAGTTTGGACTTTATCTAGAGTTGCCATGTTGTGCCCTGAGTAATAATTGTGCTTGAGCTTTAGCTGCCAGCAACGTAACTGCAGCAGTTATAAGCTGTGCTTCTTGGGTGAAATAATAAGCTTCAATGGCTGATGCTGATCTTTGTGCATTTTGTGATACTTGATCTAAATGAGCATTTCAGCTTCCAGAAGCTTGAAAAACTACTCCATAATATTTAAAGGTCTTCACCGGCTCAGTGATGTGTCCACCTAACTTCCAGATTCATTGTTTTGGCCATTTGGAGAAGGTAAGGGTTTTGGTTTTGGTAAAGTTTATTGTTAATGTCTCCTCATTGCTGTAATCGGTGAGTGATCCCAACGCTCTTCTAAGACCCACAGGAGTCAAGGGCAGAATTACTGCATCATTGGCATTCAGTAATATACTAATATTATTTGAGGGACTGCCTCTCCTTGATTATATCTGCCCACCCCATCAGATCCGGCAGAAGAGGCATGCCACCGGTCCCATCTGCTACGGATACTTGGCAGGGCCCAGGAGGTGGGCCTTCTCTGCCATGGTGCCCGCCTTATAGAACATCCTCCCCCCCAAAGTGAGGCTGGCTCCATCCCTGTTGATTTTCCAGAAGTCCTTAAAAACTTGGTTATGCCATCAGGCCTGGGGGCCCCAAGGGACTGGCGAGGTACTGAGAAATGTACTGACATTTGCTGCCCTCTCTTAGCCTTTAATTGTGATTTTTAATTTTTTTCTGAATAATAATTGTTTTTTATATATTAACTGATTTATAGTTTTATTGTATGCTGCCAGTCACTTTTTCATGAGATGGGTGGCCATATAAATTTGATGAATAAATAAATAAATAAATATGCCTATTGGTTAGTTTGGGAGAATGCAAGGCAGAATTACTCCAGTAAGGTACAGTGAATTTATATTATTTAAAACGTACTAAGTATTTCTCCCTAAAGAAAATAATGTCGCCCACCCAAAACTGAATTCAGGTTCATGACCTAAGGGCATGCTTCCACTGTAGCATGTCAGACATGTATATTACTTATGGATAAACATCTCTTTCTTCTGTTGAACTTCTGAATAAATGACAACTCAACATGAACCCCCTTGCCAATTATGATCTTCTGGTCAGGTTTTATGTCATGAACTGAAATCATCAACAGCTAGGAATGTTTAACTTTGAAGATATGAAAGTTTAACTTTAACTTGACGATATGAATGTACTGAGATGTTACTATATGCTTAATTCTAATGTTATAATGTATATTGTCAATTAAAATTGTTTCAGGCCTGGGGAAGACAAAAAGCATAGCCAGTAAATATTTATTTAAAAAAAAATAGAAAACTACATAGACATAAACATATATACTACTACAGCTACATAAAATAGGATGTATATACCATCAAGCTTTGAGAAGAAAATGAGCAGAAAGCAAATAAGAGATGACTATAGGGTTAAACTGTCCTAGTTAACTAACAACAGATACATACTGTATCCTGAAAATTTACTTTTAATGTTACTGCTTTACTTTCTATTGAACTCTATTTGGATATTCTAAACACACAATATTTGAAATGTTATCCAAGGAATTATCCACATCATATCCCAATTCAAAATATTCTGAATGTTCCTGATATTTTCTACTAAAATTCTTTTTGTGTGGCTAGACATGAGTCAGCATTCCTTACCTGAGGCTGCTGAGTAGCAGTTGGTTTCTGAGGAGATGGTATAGGTGTTTTAGACAAAAGTTGGTTCATTCTGCTTATGACAAGCTCAATTATAAGCTGTTTGTCTTCAACCTGATGCTCACCAATCAAAGGCATTGCAGAATCCATAACCTAGGAGATATAAAAGCTGGTTAGGTAGAGAAAGATAGTAACTTTTAGTGCTGTGTCACACACCACTATGATTATCATTTATCCATAGTGGATAAATGGAGGATGAATGGAGGATACAGTTAAAAATAAAGGACTGTACAAAATATTTCTTTAGGAGTTTAAAAATTCTCCTTATTGAAACCTTGGGCATTTATGGTTATTAGAAAAGTTGAAAAGGAATGCTTTGGTTTATTTTTTACGAGCAGAAACTTGAACTGTAATATATTAAAACTTGATAGTTCTAGCTTGGTAAATGTACTTGTCAGACTGGAGTGTGCGTATACCAGTGGCTTGATGACTGCATCAAGACACGCAGAAAGTTGAGGTTTGCAGAACTAATACTACTAATGCTCCTGCAACAACTCCTCTTTGAAATGCAAATCGTATGCATTAGCTGTGCATCCAACATATACAATCCATGGATTTGCACTAACGTGGCTTCAGACCTTGTCCACAGGTTACCATGTTTCCACTGTGTGCTTGAGGAGTTCTGAAGAATGGAAGCCCATAATTCTAGGCACGGTCAAATCAAATGTTTACATTCCTGCAAAACACTTGATAAAAAGCAACCTGGGAAATGGATATCTAAAACATTTGTGGCAATAATTTAAAAACTTTAGAAACTATTCTAAAGCTAAACGTACCTTGGCTTTATTCTAGGAGTCTGTCTGAACTATACTGGCACAAATAGCTTTGTCTGCACAGTGAACTGTATTAAGAAACATGAAGACTCCTTATTCATGCAGATTATGAAAACTGAGATTTATTCAATGGCCATGAGAAGCAGCTTTTCTCTTACCAATTCACAGGGAACATTATTTGCTTTAGCTCTTGGCTTCCTAAAAATATTCTCCTTAAAATCAACTTTTGTCAATACTAAGTTTGCATTTTCAATAATGTAAGATATTTCCTTGCAATATTAAATCTAGTTATTTCTATTTAGAACCAGTTTCATGCTGGATGAGTTATGGGAAAGATTACTAATTTCTATGAACTATTGTTTGTCTTGCCAACAAAAATATCTCACTTTGCTCTGTAATATACTGTATATCCCTTCTGTACAATTTGTAAAACCTAAAAACATATTGGATAAATGATCTTGACTGATGAAATCATCCTTTTGGAATGGAGCTTTAATGTGGCAAAGAAGCCTCATAGGAACTAGTACAAGATACATCATTTCAGTGGTTGAATCATAGTTGAATGATAGAGTTGAAATTAGAAAGTAGTGAGCTACCAGGCTAACCATCAGACCAGGAATCTACTATATACTTTGTTGCCTCTACCACAAATGAAAAACAGATAAAAGATAAACAGCTGCATTTTCTCAAGGTTGATGAAAACCACATTACGTAATATTGCAGTGTATATGTATTATTGTAGTAAGCCATACATTTACTACATGATTTTAATCAAGAATTTTGAGTAGGATATAATTATTTCTTATCTTTCTTTTCTTTAATGTTTTTCCCCTAATCAGAGCTGACAAAAACCAATGGAGCTTTTGAAGAATATTTTTTTAAGTTTAGAAACCCAAATATATAATAACAATGATAATCTTTATCCATATCCTTGATGACTGTGATTTTTTTTTTCCAAATCTAGAGAAACAGGACTGAATGTTGTAGCAAAGTCATAATGTTAATATTTGAAACATTAGGACTGCTATCAATTTGCCTGTGACAACTTTAGGCCAACAGATTTGTCATCTACCTCTCACCTAAAATCTTTTTTAACAAGTAGTGATAAACAGTTACCTTCCAAGTTTTACTAAGAAGTTTTTATTAAAAAATCAGTCATTTCACAAAATTACATACGCTGAGTGGCATGGATTTGATTAGCATTAAGATTAGGAAAGTATTCAATATTTCCTTCTGCAATTTTCAGAAAATTATATATATGTCTATATTTTAAAACTATAAAATAGTTATAAAATACATTTGGCAAGAATGTTTTCACATTTGCAATTTATTTTATACATATTAGGCATATATTTAATAAGCATATTAAACAATGTATCTTACACATGTTAAAGCACACTTTAACATCTTTTTTCGAGAGGACTTTCCATTTTAGTCCCCTCAATACAAAAAAAAAAGTAGTGAGAAAAGAAACGGGAAACATTTTCACTTTTTTTATCTCTGTATTTTCTCAGGAGATGTCTGTGGTTTGGGTGCTAATCTCTGCCTAGAAAGGACAAAGTTTAAAGTGGGAAAAAATAATATTCTTCTCATTTTCTCAGAGTCAAGAGACTGATCAAGTTAAGTCAGATTCTGTTTTTGCTAAACAGGTGTCAGTCTTTTGAGGTAGGCCAGCCCCGGAAACAGATGTCACAAAGACTACTGGAACTTAATTTTATTGTTGCAGGGTATAATAACAGAAATGTGAAAGTCTGCAAGAGTTTACTTCTGCCCCCTTTTATACCATATAGAATATAAGGGAGTTATTTTGAGTCTTTCCCATGCTCCTTCTCTTCCTAGGGCTGAAATGTCATTTACTGTCTCTTTTATCTGCTAACAGCTTTTGTATACCTTTGCCAACTTCATCTCCATTTTCCTCAATACATAGATTTACCAAGCTCAAATGCATCCCAGTTTATTGGTTAAATAACCTCTAAGTTTTGTGTTTTCTATGAATTAAAGAATATTTGTTGCATAAACCTCTTGATACAGACATTTAACTGACCAGTAGCATACACTAATATTTAGCATGGGAATATATATTTTATGTCTGAAAGGATATATGACTGTATTCTTAATTTCCCTTTTCATGTAAAGTGTAATTTTCTTGGGTTTGTTTTAGGAAAGGACAACCTATAAATCTTGTGCCCAAAGCAATAATGGAGAGTTCACTTAGAAAGAAAAGCTTAGGAAAATCTGATGCAAATATTTTGATATTTGGCCTGAGACTATATGCTCAGAACCACCTCATGGTCTGATTATGCTTTCCCACAAACAATGTTACTTACTATGATATGTAGCTTTCTTTAACTATCTAAACTTTAGCACTCTGAATTGCCTATCTCTGCCAAAGAGATGGAAAGTTAATTTACTCCTATCTTAACAATAACAAGAGAGAGAGAGAGATGTATGGCTTCTACCGTTCAAATGTTCTAAAAGTCCCTTAAGTCTAGGATCTGTTCCCAAGCCTGGGTTTAGGGTCTTTGTGGAGCCTCTGGTGATTTTTTTCTTGAACATTATTTATGTGATTTTTGTCCAGGTGGTCATGTTCATTTAAAAAAAAAAAAAGATATATTATTTTATATCTTTTAATTTTAATAATCTATATATTATTATAGTCAGAAGGCCTCAACATCCAAGAAATAAATACATAATAAAAAATAACAGCAGTGACAGAGAAAAAGCACTCATCATACCTCAAAGATATAATCCTTCCCATCCTTCCCATGAACTGCTTTGACAGCGCATATGTCCAGGCCACCAAACATCTCAGAGCAGCTGTCGATCCAGAGCTTGTATCTGGAATTTGAAGAGAAGTTCCCATGAGCTTAAAAACATAATTTTGTCACAACGGAGATTCAGCTAAATGGCTTGGGTTTAGGCTGCGTTCAGAGTATGTTTCTTTACACCACATTCCGAAAGGTTGTATAGGGCAGTAGTTGGAATACGTCTAAGCTGTCATGTTTTTGTAATATACAAATGGTCCGATGAGGCAGCTACAGTCTATCTATTTTAGGCATCAACACGCATTACATTAAAAACTTGAGAAAGCTTTGAGATTTGGTCAAAAGTCTTCCAAATAGCGGTGGCCATAGAATATACAAGAGAGTTTAGTATGAATGAATCAGATTTGGGGGAACATGTATAATATGCTGTTTCTTAGTTCAAAGCATTTTTCATTTTATACTACACTTCTCTTAATATCATCAATACATCAGTGTTCTCTTAGCTGTACATACAAAATATTGTATGTCTACTAATCAAAGATAACATATAGAAGTCAATTATCAGGAGCAGTCCTGGCTAAAGGTCACTGATATATGTTTATATAGTCAAACAGACATCTGCTAAAGATGCATAACAATACATCTCTTACATTAATCTTGCTTAAAGTCCCAAATATATGATTACTCTGAATTAAAAATGCATAAGGTGGTGTTGTATACATTCTGTATGGTGCAATATGACATTATAGTAGAAAGTTTCTGAGGAACACCCCCCCCCCCAAATACACATAGA